CACAGCCTGCTGTTAATCCAAAGGTCACAGGAACACTGCATTGATCACAACAACGCAGATATTTCATTTTCAACTCCAGGAGGACAGTCTGCTTCCCACCGGTCAGGGAAGAGGCAACACACATTGCGGCAGCAGCAAAAAACCTACAGACACTCAGGTGCCCTAGGATTTATGCTTCTAAGCAGTTTGACCTGGCATTCGGTAAGCAAAGATATGCAAACAGTACAGTAAATAAAACCAACCACAAACTTGACAAGATTTCACATCACAGAGGAGATAAATATTAAATAGTTAAGCAGAAATGCTGACTAACGTGGATCATTAATTTAGAGGGAGAAAATGAAGTAGGGTAGTACGGTTAGGTTGTAATTGGACTTGATGATCTTTAGGGTCTTTTCCAACTCGAGCAATGCTATGATTCTATGATTAAAGAGGAAAACTAAGATGTTACCATCAGATACTTTAATACATTGTTTCATTGCATGTACAGAAAGTCTGAGAGGTACATGCACAAAAGCAATTCCACCTGAAGCATTTTAACCACCATTTAACCGGGACAATAAATATTTCACTCAGACCCTTGCAGCACTCATTCTCAGACAGGTGGACAGCAAGCTGTCCCGGTTTTAGGAGCTCCGTACAAACAAGACAAAAAAAGTGTATTTACCATTTGAATGGCAGGCACAAAGTGAGAGGTGTGTTACATTATTTTAATCAATAAAACAGCTATCTTGCATTTCTTTCCTTTTTTCTTTTTTTTTTTTTCCAGCTTACTAGTACAATAGATTCCCACTGCATGAAAACCATTTACCTCCCCTCTTCTCACCCTCGCACATCAGCATCATTCATCATTATGGAAATGAACCACAGAGGAAGGTGTTTATAAATACCCCACCTAAAGTCAGCCAGGTTAATGCCGTGCAGTGGAAGAAATCTTTGTTCAGCCAAGATTTCTTGTTGCTGTTTCAATCAATTCGATAGACGGACCACTGCATGACTGAAGGAGCACTAATCCAGCTGTTTGAGCACGAGCATAAGGGGAAACTAGCACGTACCATATCCTTACATACACTGCCTTCAATTACAGAAAACACAGGTAATGCATCACATTGTGATAGAAATATCAAATACCAGTCAAGTACAACAAAATAACCCAGAATTTAAACATCATAAACCATGGTTAAAGAAATCTCCTGTGGTACTGAAAGAACTCTGCTTTTTATTACTGCAGTAACCTTAGCCGGCTACAGCTATATTAAAAAAAATGCTACCCCAATTCTTCTCTCAGCCACAATGAGATTCACAGGAAAGGTAAAGCAAGACAGGCAACACAATTGTATTTAGGAAACTTGCAGACCCTTGTCATTGCACCCCAGCATAGGCAGCTGGGTTAAGCGCAGAAGTGAAAACCTCACAAGACTTGAAGTTATCAGGCTGACAGCAATTGTGAGAGCCAGCTAGAGGTGAAGGATGGGAAGCAGGAACATGACTTGAGCTACTTACTATTCAGTATTGTTAACATTCACACAGTTTGCATTAATTTCCTCAAGAGCTGTATTTCTTTCATAGACTCGTGAAGGTTGGAAAAGACCACTAAGATCATCTAGCCCATCACACCAGGCCCATTAACCATGCCCCTCAGTGTCACATCTACAGCTTTCTTGAACACCTCCAGAGAGTGTGACTCCTTCACCTCCCTGGGCAGCCTGTGCCACTGCTGCACCACTCTGAGAAGCTGTTTTTCCTAATACCCAACCTGAACTTCCTCTGGCACAACTTGAGGCCATTCCCTCTTATCCTATCACTGATGGCTGTGAAAAGAGGCCAACCTTCACTTCACCTCAGCCTCCTTTCAGGAATCAAAGAGAGAGCAATGAGATTTCCCCTAAGCACCCTCTTCTCCAGCCTGAACAATCCCAGTTCCCTCAGCTGCTCCCCAAAAAACTTGTGCTCCAGACCCCTCACAGCTTCGTTGCCCTTCTCTGAACACACTCCAGGGTCTCAACATCTTTCTTGTAGTCTTTTGCCACATCGTAAGATCCACTTATCTACTGAAGTCCTGTAGAAGCAATACGTTTTTCCCACCTACACCACATAGGCAGAGATAGACTTAAACTGCAAACAGCTGCTTCCAAAATCAACTGAGCAGCTCGAGCCAGGCATCGGTATGGGGCTGAAAGCTGCAAAGAAAGCCATGTCAGGAGCTGGTGAAAAAGTCCCATTCATAAGGGCTGGCCAAGGCAACTGGAGCCACGGGGGAAAACACACAAAGGATGAAATATTTTCTATTACCTCCACACTTTAAAAACTATCCAGAATTAAAAGACTTGCTTTTACTTTTCTATAGACCTAAAATGCATTAGTAAATGAATGACAGATAAGAGGAAGATATTGAAAGCATTCCTTGCTGTTTTTTCTCCACACACACTAAGAGACCAATAACTGTGAAAGCAGTAATTATATTTTATTTATTCATGAGAGGAAAACAAGCCTTATTCCATCATTCTTCATACAGTATCAACATGTAGAATATATACTTCTATTTACATGAAATATGTATAGGCTCCTTCAACTAGCATACCCAGAAATGATTACTTAATATTAAAAAAAATAATAAAAATCCTGATGCATTTTCTCTGCTGCAGCCACCAAAGCAAAGGCATCTATGTGATGCTACTCAACAGCACCTTAGAAGCACTATGAGCACTATCAAGTTCCCAGGTGTTTCACACTCTTACCACACACACTTCAATCATTGTCACCCTTTTATTTCTAAACACTTCAAGTGCAAAGTGTTTGCACTGCAATTCAACAAAACTTAGAGAGTAAAGGCAATGACCTTTTTCTGTAGTCTTCTTTTATTTCTTCTTTCTTTTTTTTTTTTATTAGATCAACAGAGTCTGTCCGATGTTATGATATTTTAATCAACAGAACACTAACCTTGAGAGCATGCAGAGTACTGAGCTCCTCTGAACAAAAACCAGTACTTGCAAAAGGTAACGTTGCACAGAGAGTAGCACATCAATTAAAAGCATACTGTATGGTTTAAAGAAATCAGCTGGAAAAGCATTGCTCTCAAGAAGGAAAAAACACACAGTACTTTGAAAGAAATACATCTATGCATTCCTTTCACACACTGGGTTATGACTTGCAGTCTAAATTGACAACGACATGTAGCTTTCTCTTAGACCCTCTTAGGGCTGACCAAACTTTTCTATAAGAAGAAAAGAACACATTTTGCTTTGCAAACCAAAGCACTCAGTATTTCAATCTCTTAGAAGATGCATTAAGCAAATTTCACCAGGTAGCAAAAGGAAGATCAGCAATTCAGTATGGAGCAGCTTGTCCTTCAAACGCTATTTAGTCATTACTGCATTACTGTTACTACAGATGGTAGCAGCAATAACACCCACAGTTTGGTGTCACCTAATTCTTTGCCTTCCCTTACCCAAAACACTCCTACAATGCCTTCCCAGGCTGTAGCATCTCTGCTGTTTGCTGCACAGCTCAGATTTTCAGTCAAGGAAAGAGCTCCACATCTATTAATTGCTTGCACTCCAGAATTTTGCTCCTTATTATCCTCATTGAACAAGTCTCCTCCCTAGCAGCCAGGAGATGCAAACTATTCCCCTAATGCAAGCGTGTTCATTTCAATTGGATTTAGGCAGATCCGGTCCACACTGCAGTCTGTGAAACATCCTAAGCACACACTGGCAACTCTTCCCCAGCACACTGTATACTATCTTCTATTAGCTGGTTCAAGTTAAAAAAAAACAACAGAGCAAGGCACTTAGGCACTGGATGACATCTGCCTTGTGCCTGTCCCACAACATGCCCCATTTGATACCATCTTCAGTTACACCATATTTTCTGTGGGTTCTCAGTTTCATATGCGGGGTGAAAAAGGGTCTGTATAGTCTCTGGTACATAAGGTAAAAACAGGAAAACACAAGAAGAAAAAAATCCCTGTTAACAGGGAAGAATTCTTTATGCTTTAGAGTGGGAAGAAACTAGAAATATAAATTCTCAGCATTTTTCTCCCAAGTGATCAATGGGGAACCAGAGACCTGAAGGCTGGAGGTGCACTGCTGCTCATCTGCAGTGGTGATGGGCAGGAGAATCAGAAGTCCTGGCTCTGACACAGTGTGACCTCGGGGCACTTCAAGGCTTGCATCCAGCTTCCCACTCAATACATTTGGGATAACAGCGCTTATCTCCCAAAGCAGCGGTAATGCTACTTTTAGAAGTTACACTAGCTCAGGACAGAAAGGAAATTAACTCTCCTTTCCGCCCATGCTATGGACGGATTGCTCACCACAAAGACCAGGCCCTGGATCAGGTGAGTAAGGTAAAAGCTCATTCCTTAATCACCACCCATCTCACACGCTGAACCAGGGCGAGGCCACGCAATCACTGTCACGATTCCATCCGACGCACACCCACGAGCTGAAGCGTGACGGTGCTCCCGGTCCCCGATCTCTGCCCCACTTCCTGTTGTCTCGTTGGTCACCCCAGGGCACGGGGCTCACAACCCCACAGCCGTGCCAGCCCGCAGCATCGGGAGGCGCTTTGGTGGAGCCGTGCCCGCCCACGGGAGGCACTCCGCTCCGTACCAGCCCGACCAGTTTGCCTCCCGCCTTAGCCAACCACCGCAGGCAGGCCCGGGCACCGCAGAGAACTCGCTTTATGCATCGCTCCCTACTTCAGGGCAAACCAGAGCCTCCTCCCTCCCTGGCAGCAGCGCCAGCGGTCGGGGAAAATCACAACCGCACACGCGGCCGGCCCGGCTCACAAAAGCCGCCCATGGCCAATACGTGCCGCACCACGCAGCCGGCACCTGCGCCTCCGAGGAACCCCCTCCCCGGGCCCGAGATGGCGGCACCTGCCGGGAGGGGAGCGACCCTCGCCGGCGCCCGCGAGGTTCCCCGGGTTGAGGAGGGCAGTGGGCTAGGGGAGGGCGCCGCCGTCCCGGGCACCTGGCAGGGCCGCGCTACGCTTACCTGCCGCCCGCGGGGAGCCCCGCGCCGCCCCCGGCTCCGCCATCTTCCTCCGGCCGGCGGTCCCCACCGACTCGGTTCGGCGCTTCGCTCCGCTCCGCGGCGCCCCGCGGCCGCCGCACAGGCGCACTGTCCGTCCGGCGGCACCTGACTCCGCGCGGCGGGGAGGAGCGGGGTTGGGCGCGGAGGCGGCTGCTTGGTGCCGTTCGGTGGCGGTTCCCGCCCCGCCAGGTATTGCCGTCGCCCCGCCCAGCCGAGCTGGGGGTCTACGGGGTGAGGTGCTGCGTGTGTCCTCGGGAGGCCCTGGACGAGCCGTGTCTTTGTTCGGGTCCGCACATAGGTGGCCTCGCTATGGGATCGTGCTTAATTTCGGAAGAGGCAGGGGATTGGAGAGACGTCTTTTTATTTTCATACAATCACAGCAGGGCTTGGGTTGGAAGACACCTCAAAGCCCACCCAGCCCCAACCCCTGCTGTGGGCAGGGCTGCCCCCCACCAGCTCAGCTGCCCAGGGCCCCATCCAACCTGGCCTTGAGTGCCTCCAGGGATGGGGCACCACAGCTTCTCTGGGCAGCTGTGCCAACACCTCACCAACCTCTGAGTGAAGAATTTCTGTGTAACACCTAACCTAAATCTCCTCTCTTTCAGTTTGAAACCATTCTCGTCCTATCACTATCAGGCCATGTAAAAATCCGCTCCCGATTCTACTTATAAGCTCCCTTCAAGTACCGGAAGGTCTTTTCTCCTGAATATTTATATGCTCAAATCATCAAAAAGACCTAGAACTTTCAACACGCTACTTACAAATTCATTGTGTTCCTGCCATCTCAGCCTTTGGAAACACTGGAACACAGGTCATCACTGTTATTCCCATGGCACTGCCTGAAAGCCCTATTAGAGCCCACTTTACAGCCAAAGACTGGCCAGCAGTTATGTTCCCATTGTCTTCTCATCCAGCTGAAAATTCAGACCACAGTCAAAAACAAGCAGAGGAGGAAAGAAACTTTTTTTTTTTTTTTTTTAAGCACTTTCTTTGGTATTCCTGCTGTGTCTCGACGTAAATAGAGCTTTCTTACTAATTGCAAATTATTCTGTTGGGATTTGTCCTTCATCTCTGCATTCAAGAGCTGTTCCTGTGTTTGGGTGTGCACATCCCACCAGGGAGCTTAACCAGGCAGATGTGCCTTTTGTTGGTGCATATGGCAGTAACTATTCCCAATGTCACCTTACCAGTTACAGACTCTATTTTTATTGTATATTAATGTCAAATCTTAACTATTTCAAATGACATTTCTCAGGCTACGCTTCTATCTGGGTGATTACAGTGATTATACCTGTTTAGGAATGACACTGTACCACTTTGCTCACATTATAAAAGAAAATTCTTACATATTTTATTGTAGGAGTGCCTCCTGTTTTCCAGGGCCTCCTCTGGCAGTGCCTTCAGAATGAAGGATTCTCTGGGAACCTCAGTTTGTCCTTGTGGGAACAGCTGGTCCAGCAGCAATTGCATAGGCTTGGTGTTGAGTGAAAGGAAATGAGATGAGTTTCCAGGACTGGAAATTAGTAAAACGGGATACAGATGCAGAAGATGCAAGGAACAAGGATGAAGAAAAGTAGCCATGAAGCTGGAGGACGGGATATGAGCACACCTGCTGGGATATTTGTGCAGGAGCCAGGGCTGGTGTAATGGTACAGACAGGGCTACAGGAGGATGTGCCCTGGGGAGAGTGAGCTGGCTCATGCTGGCTGCCAGCCAGTTGTGAAGCCCTTAAGTGTGTCCCATGGAAACGTCAGTAGTCTCCTATGCCGTAATGTCTCTGATGGCTGCTCACAACCTGGCCAGCATTCAGCCTGAGAGCTGTGCGATGAAAAAGAAGAGATTTTTAGAGAAAACTTAAGAAAGCACCAAGAGAAAAAAAAGAATAAAGCAGCAAAGATAAAAAGCTCTTCTTCAACTCTGTAAGTTATGTGATGTGACTCAGTCTTTAAATCACTTTCTCTATTTTTTCCCCAAGACTCCTGTTTCATTCTGTGCAAAGGGTGGTGTTTAATTAATATATAGTTCTTCAGTGTTTGTGTTCATTTTCATCATGTAAAGTGGAACCTTTCATGTCATCTTTATTGTACATTCTTCAAACCCTGCCTCGAAGGCAGGTTCATTAATTTCCTTGATGGCTTTCCTGCGGTACTCTCATGTCATCGTTTTAGCTTCTTCAAGCATTAATGAATTAACTTTATAACATCCTTCTAAGTCGAAGAAGTGCTATTATCATATTTAACACAAGGGGAAGAAATAACTGAAGGCAATGGATCTGGAGTGCCCGCAGATGCTTGTTCACTCCTTTAAGTGCTGACAGGTTGTTGAGCCATCAGCTCCCCAGTCATGCAGTCCTATGGGAGCTGTCCCCAGCACGGCCTATGGGACGCCGTGTTGGGCACTCCAGCTGGAAAGGAGCTCCTCGGTCTTTCATTGATTGAAACTCTGGTAACTCTTGTGCTGGACGGGTTTATTTTAAAGCATTTTTAAATTTCTTTTATGGTATGTCATGTTCTTTCTGTTAAAATCAATAATATGCTGGGTTGCTTTTGTGGAAAACATTTATAACGTCTCCTTTTACGCATCATAGCCTTTTTCTTTCTACCTCCAACTTTGTAGTCCACTTTCTTGGATGCTTCTCCTCCCTGTTAACATTCACAAACATCTTCTTTCTGATAACTATTGTGTATGCTTACAGGGAAAAAAAAAATGCTACTGGGAGCAAAACCAGGCTCCCATGAAATTCCAAATCCACAGTCACCAAACAACCAAAGAGGTCCATCTTGAGCCACCCATTTCAGCATGAGAGGAGGACTGATGAGAGTAGATTAGAATGACCTATTTTGAATGTAATAGCTGCAGTCATCTGCCTCTTACATACAGTCTATCAGGGATGGAACTTTATCCACTTCTTGGAGTTAATCTTCTTTTGCTGTCCGTCCTGAATCTTCTAACTCTGATGTCTAATGCTGACGTCTATGTATTTTTTTCTTTTAGAAATTTTTAGAAATTACTACAAGTTTTCAGCAGGAGCTCTATTCAAACAGGTTTGTCTGGATATTCATATGTAAGCTACAAAGGCACAGATGGGTCTAGAGCTGGGAAAATCTCAGGAGTAAATCTGCAGAAAGGTATAAGGGAGATCTTGAAGATGTAGGCAGGGAGCATCTGGCAGGACTGTTAATTTTGCCTCCTCAGCAGACATTAAAGTAAAATCTATCAAAAGAGGTCTGTTTTTATTATTAGTAGTAGTAGTAGTATTAGTATTTATTTATTTATTTATTATTTTTGTATGTTACAGTTGTATCTATGCAACAAAATCTCTCTTTTCCTAGGATTGCTCCTAAGGGGACACAGAATGATGAGTCCCGAGCAGAACAGTCAAATCTTCTACACAACCCATCTCCTGAGTTTCTGCTCCACTCTGTCATTTTCAATCAACCAGCTTAGCATCACTCAAAATCTGCATGTCAGAGATGTAAAATCCAGTTCTCCAAAGCAGTGTTTGACTGCTCTAGCTTCAGAATTGTTCTTTCCTTTCTAAAGCTCCCAGAGGTCTAATGCCTCATTGTTAACGCCTCATCTCTTACAACTTCTGAATGAAATGGAGTGCTTGTAGCAAAGTCTTATTGCAGATAATACAAATTCTCTTGAAGACAATTACTCCTCTTCGTTGGATAAGTTGGTGTCCTCTGAGAAAGTCATAACATGACTGGAAAGCTAAAAAAGAGTTGTAACACTTGTATAAGAAACCAAAGACAGGTGACAGGTATAGCTAATTATAGTTATTTCTGACTGTTGAATGATTAATCAACTTAGACTCAGTATGATCATAGAGAATATCTTTTTTCTTTTTTTTCCCAGTCTTTTGAAACCTTTCTATGACATGTCCTGGTTGTGTCAATCTCAAAGCTACGTATCAACAGGAAAATGGTGTTCTCTTTCAAAAACACATTTTTGAAGGGCGTTATTTCTAAAGGACTTCTGCTTTTAGTTCTGAATGGTTTTAAAAATCCAGCTGTATGTGTTCTGGTGAAATGGCTTCTACTTCTGTTTGTCTCTCTATGCCTGAGAAGCTAAGGGCAGATTACATGCAGGAATTAAATTGCCTTTCAGGTTCCCCCAGTTGAGGAGCAGGACCAACATTTGGTTCAGTCTGGCGAAGCTTGAGCTACATCTGTCTACTTTATTTTTAAATACTTACATAGCTGGGAAGTGTCATTCAATGAATAAAGTCAGCCTAATGTTAAAATAATTTGTAGGATGAATCATAATGGATGGCTTTGTATTTGGCATTTGGCTCACTAAGGGTATAGTAGCTCTTCTCCATGTGAAAGTACAGACTTAAAAAAATCCTACGTTATGCTAAATCACAGTTCTCCTACCTTAACAGCCTGTGCTATAGGTGATGTTGTGGGCTCCCTGTGTGCCTTGACACAGGAGCACGCTCTCATTGGTGTCACACATTTATGGCACCTTGACTTGGAAGAGGGGAAAACCAGTGGTGCACAAAAATAAGTGAAAGCACAGAGAGAGAAGTCCTCTCTTCATCCTGTCCCACGTTATTTACTGATGGCACAGGCATTTTAAGTCATGAATGAACGCAGACCTGCCTATGCACAGCTTCTTTACTGAGCACAGCAGTGGGAGAAACAGCACTGGAATGCAGCACAAACCTATTTCACACCTGATTTCAACAGAATATTATTTTTTTCATCAGTGTTTCATTAAAAGGATGATACATGCTGTTCCTCCTGTTTACCCTAAAATAAGCCTGTCCTTGTTTACTGCCCAATACCTGTTCTCCAGATTCAAAACATCATGAACCACAAACTGTGAGAGCTCTGTTATTAACTACCTTGTGGAATAGTGGCCAGATCTCACTGGAGGGCAAACAAACTAGATCTAGATGCATTTTGTATTACTTTTGATTCTGTGATTAAACTAAAGGTTCCTTACTGCAGTATTGGGCACAGAAAAGGCAAACACTGTGCTTGCTTTTCATGCTCTAACAGGATGTGACACAGTCATAGCATTTGCTTGGAGAGGCAGGGGAAGATAAGCCATGCTGGGTAAGGAAGGAATGTCTGCCCTGCAGGCATAGAAACGCATTCTGTATTTTATGTTTCTCTTCACCACCTGCTGAAGTGATTGATATTTGCCTGCAGTTATTTGTAGTATTTTTGTCTAGCTGCACCAGCGTGCTTTGCCAGGAAAAGGAGCCCTCTTTCCCCAGCAGTGCATCTATTCATACAGGGGGTGGTTGTGCGTGGACAGGAACCGATCTGCATTTATGTGACAGTGAG